GATTTGTGTGTATATATCTACATTTATGTATTAAATTATTGTTATTTGAATATCAGCTTTATTTGCTGAGTAATTGTCCTCTACAAATCAGACTGAAAGATCACTGTTGACTACGGCATTAGGCTTGTAATTTTGTTGGTCTAGGGTGAACCTTAAATTAGACACCTCTATAGGGATATATGGGTTCTGTAAATTGATTTTGCAGTTCTTACCATGGTAGTATGTGACTATATTTCTGTGTCAAATTGTTCTAGCATGCATATATACAATAGCTCAGTCAACATGCAGGCAGTGTTTGCTGAGAACAGGGCCGGCTGTGGGGGCTGTTAGATTGTATCTGCTGATTAACGTGTCCCATCATGCTATACCACTGTTACCCCTATAGCAATAGTCTAAATGTAAATCCCAGTGGAAACCTGTTCTATAAAATGATGCTAGTGTTGGTGCATGTATGCATGTATGTTAGGTATATATATCAGTATTTATCTGGGTTTTTTTTCACAGATCAATTTTAGAGATTATTTCGATACATTTCAGTTCCTAATATCTCACTGCAGGAAACATTATAATTCGTAAAAATAAAAAACTTTACAAAATTATGTAAGTCTACCTGTTGCCTTGACTCCCGTTACAAAATTATGTAAGTCTACCTGTTGCCTTGACTCCCGTCACCTGACCAGTGTTTGTCTGACTCATCACAAACAGATACGTCCTGTTGTGGGAGTGAGGCTCTGATCACCTACGTCCTGTTGTCGGGATCGAGCAATTTATCTTTTCAAAGTTCCGTCTGATGGAGAGCTACATAATTACATTGAAGGGATAGACATGGTATAGAGGGTTTAATGTCATTTATCTATGATGGTAAAACACATACATACAGTAGCAGATCGCTATTGAGTTTAATTCCACTTATCGTCGAGTTACAGTGAAACCTTGTTCTGCTGTCATCATTCCATGGGCAATAGTTTGTTGTTATCAAGGGGTTTGGTGTCATTATCTGGGGCTTTGGCATTATAAAGGGGTTTGGTATTATTATAAGGGATTTGATGGTATTATAAGGGGCTTGGTGACATTATAAGGGGGTTTGGTGTCATTATAGGGGGCTTTTGCATTATAAAGGGCTTTGGTGTCATAATAAGGGGCTTTTGCATTATAAAGGGGTTTAGTGTCATTATAGGGGCTTTTGCATTATAAAGGGGTTTGGTGTCATTATAGGGAGCTTTTGCATTATACAGGGGTTTAGTGTCATTATAGGGGCTTTTGCATTATAAAGGGGTTTAGTGTCATTATAGGGAGCTTTTACATAACAAAGGGGTTTGGTGTCATTATAGGGAGCTTTTACATTACAAAGGGGTTTAGTGTCATTATAGGGGCTTTTGATATTATAAAGGGGTTTGGTGTCATTATAGGGAGCTTTTGCATTATACAGGGGTTTAGTGTCATTATAGGGAGCTTTTACATTACAAAGGGGTTTAGTGTCATTATAGGGGCTTTTGCATTATAAAGGGGTTTGGTGTCATTATAGGGGGCTTTTACATTACAAAGGGGTTTGGTGTCATTATAGGGGGCTTTTGCATTATAAAGGGGTTTAGTGTCATTATAGGGGCTTTTACATTTTAAAGGGGTTTAGTGTCATTATAGGGAGCTTTTATATTACAAAGGTGTTTGGTGTCATTATAGGGAGCTTTTACATTACAAAGGGGTTTAGTGTCATTATAGGGAGCTTTTATATTACAAAGGTGTTTGGTGTCATTATAGGGGCTTTTACATTATAAAGGGGCTTAGTGTCATGATAGGGAGCTTTTACATAACAAAGGGGTTTAGTGTCATTATAGGGGCTTTTACATTACAAAGGGGGTTAGTGTCATTATAGGGGCTTTTACATTATAAAGGGGCTTAGTGTCATGATAGGGAGCTTTTACATAACAAAGGGGTTTAGTGTCATTATAGGGGCTTTTACATTACAAAGGGGGTTAGTGTCATTATAGGGGCTTTTACATTACAAAGGGGTATAGCGTCATTATAGGGAGCTTTTACATTACAAAGGGGTTTGGTGTCATTATAGGGAGCTTTTGCATTATACAGGGGTTTAGTGTCATTATAGGGAGCTTTTACATTATGAAGGGGTTTAGTGTCATTATAGGGAGCTTTTATATTACAAAGGTGTTTGGTGTCATTATAGGGGGCTTTTGCATTATAAAGGGGTTTAGTGTCATTATAGGGAGCTTTTACATTATAAAGGGGTTTAGGGTCATTATAGGGAGCTTTTACATTACAAAGGTGTTTGGAGTCATTATAGGGAGCTTTTACATTACAAAGGGGTTTAGTGTCATTATAGGGGCTTTTACATTACAAAGGGGTATAGTGTCATTATAGGGAGCTTTTACATTACAAAGGTGTTTGGTGTCATTATAGGGGGCTTTTTCATTATAGGGGTTTAGTGTCATGATAGGGAGCTTTTACATAACAAAGGGGTTTGGTGTCATTAAAGGGGCTTTTACATTATAAAAGGGTTAAGTGTCATTATAGGGGGCTTTTACATTATAAAGGGGTTTAGTGTCATTATAGGGGCTTTTACATTACAAATGGGGTTGGGTGTCATTGTAGGGGGCTTTTACATTATAAAAGGGTTTGGTGTCATTATAGGGAGCTTTTACATTACAAAGGGGTTAGGTGTCATTATAGGGGCTTTTACATGACAAAGGGGTATAGTGTCATTGTAGGGGCTTTTGCATTATAAAGGGGTTTGGTGTCATTATAGGGGCTTTTACATTACAAATGGGGTTGGGTGTCATTGTAGGGGGCTTTTACATTATAAAAGGGTTTGGTGTCATTATAGGGAGCTTTTACATTACAAAGGGGTTTGGTGTCATTATAGTGGCCTTTACATTATAAAGGGGTTTGGTGTCATTATAGGGGCTTTTACATTGTAAAAGGGTTTGGTGTCATTATAGGGGCTTTTACATTACAAAGGGGTTTGTTGTCATTATAGGGAGCTTTGATATTATAATAGGATTAAGTGTTGAATGGCAGAATAGATATACTGCAATCACTTTGGAAAAAGAAAAAAAAGGACCTTGAAATGTTTTGTTGATTGGTTATCATGTGTGTCCTGATAAAAAGTGTTACATCCTACACATAGATCCACCAGGAAATGTTTGGACAGTTCTGTACCTACATTTCTATATAATCAATTAATGATTATTGTCTGGGAAATGTCACATGTTCAAACATAAGTTTTTACTGTGAGGCATTGCAGCTTTCTGTATACTGTGATGTCTCCTACTGACATCCAGTAGGGAGAACTTTGTAGTGAGATATTGTTTTAGTACACACTCTACAAACCTTTGATAAATAGAGGGATGTTATTTAAATGTCTACGTTGATAGTGTTTTACAGGGAGTGTTTGACCCTGTTGACCCTGAAATTTACCCAAGAAGTGGGGAAAGGGACAATAAGTTAAATGATGTGATATAAGTAGCATGTCTTTGTCTATCAACATGTGTTATGGTATTCCTAGTATTGACCCTTTCTGATACTTACCTCCCCTTCTACTATTACAGTATCATGATCTGACAACAATGTATCCAAGTGTTTAATGGAGGTGGGGGGAGAAAATAATTTTGGAATTCTCCCTCAGATTGTGTCCAACAGTATATACTTATATTGCCTCGTACAGCAACTGCCATCACCAAATTTATTTTACTTTTTTCGTTTGTTTTTTATCGTAATAAATGCCCCTGAATCCAATGTTTCATGTGCCCACCCTGGATGCTAACTACAGTAAATATAGTTATCAATTGTATCACCAAATGTAATAATTTTAAAGAGTTAATGTTATGCATGTTTAGTGAACAGAACACATTCTCTTAATGATATCTCTCAGGTCCCTTCATGCCATATCAACGGCAGTCGATTCCAATACTTGGGATCTTTATCTTTATCTCTACTTCTACATTCTTTCATTTCCTGACGCCTTACTTGGCAATACCTCGCTTTTGAGCATTAAGAGGAATGGTAACAACTGACTCACCCATTGTCAGTACTATGTGACCAGGCGGAGAGCGGTGCTCGGTGCCTTCAACATGGAGGGTCAGTGAGATAGCACTATAAAGTCGGCATCAGATCGGCGCTATCACAAGGAGGCACCAACATACCCTGTATCCAGCACTCATACACGCATGCAGGCCAGGCATAACACACATGGAGGCACGTCCTGAAATGGCTGTAGCTGTTAACTCAATCACCCATGAAGACGCATTTGAACACTTCCAATTCAAAGGTTGGAATAGTTCATTATGAAATTTCAGGGGTCAATGAGTTGGTAGGACGATAAACAACATGAAACCAAAACCAGCCCACGTGTCAGATTTCGGATGATTAGTTATATGTAACAGGCCTCCTGTTGGTTGAAACAGTTAACCCTAATTAAACCCTATAGTAACACTATCTTTTGTTAACCCATTGTCACAGTAGGATATTTGAAGACCAGCATTCAAACGAACTCTAAATGATTTTGCAATTTTGCAGAGATCCATTTTTGCTATGGAAATTTAAATCTTCTGCGAATATTTATTAAATTATTAATCTTTAATCACATGCGTAATTACTAACAATATTGAAAAGCAATCTACATTATTCGCCCAATTAGGATTTCTCGAGGAACCTGCTGATATCAAGTTTGTGAAAAATTTAAAGTATAAGGGAAAATTAATTAACAGTAACTCACCATTTAAAGTTATATTGAGTAAATTGAGGCATACCCAGAGAAAAGCATGAGGTTGGACTGGTAATAACCCCATACCATTTCACATCCAATTGGGGAATTGAACCCCAGCTGCCTCAAGTGGTGAAAGACAAGTACATTACCCACCGCTCCATCGTTGTTCATCTGAAAAGTGCATGCATTCAGAAAATAATACATGTTTGGTGATAATAACTTAATATAAATTGAAAAGTAGATAAGAAAGTTATTATTTCTTTTTAACTTCTTATTTCAGGAAAACTGGAACTCACTGGCCCAAAGAATTCAGCAGGATACATAGGATTTAACCGAACGTTTTCCTGCAACATTCTTGATGACGGAAAACAGATGATCAACCTGCATGATGTCATAGAACCCTACACAGTCGACTGGTTTTTCACTCCGCTGGGTCAGGACACGTCACAGTCCTTAAAGATCCTGAATCTGACAAGTGATGGGTCGGCCATGCCCCGCCTGTCATGGACTTCTGATCCCTATAAGTACGGGACGAGGTCCGGGATCGAGTTGGTCATCTTCAACCTACAGGTGGGGGACAGTGTCCATGTTGGGGACGCAGGGACATATTCCTGTGTCATGGAGGGCTCGGGGTCAATGGCTGCTGCAGAATTGTTTGTCATTGGTACGTATAGGGGGAAAGTAAAAAAAAAAAATCAGATCTTATCTTTACCTTTCTCTCCTTATCAATACAAACGGGTGGCTGGTGAGTTGTTCATCAGTGGTATTAAGCAGATGACTAAAAGTAAAATTCAGATATTTACTTTTCCCTACTTTAAAATAGATAAAAGATGTCTCACCTAGAAGTCTTGTTTGGGTAATAGTATGATCAGGGACAGGTGTCTGTAGAAGCAATTAACATCGCCACAACAGTCATGAGTGCCAACGCTGAAATAAAACAGAAGAGTAGGACAGAAAGGAAAATATATCGCAAATTTTCCAATTAGGGCAGCAATTCAGTTTTGTCTTTTTAGGTCACCTGAGCTTTGCTCAAGTGACCTATTCTAATCGCTTTCCGTCCGTCGTCCGTCGTCCGTCAACCGTCGTGCATAAACTTTTCACATTTTCAACTTCTTCTCAAGAACCAGTGGATGGATTTTGTTCAAACTTGGTCAGAATCATCCTTGGTAGATGAGGCTACAAAATTGTAAAATTGGAATTCCTACCCCAACCCCTGGGGCCAGGGTGGGGCCCCAAAGAGAAAATTAACCAATATTTCAAAAATCTTCTTTTCCAGACTCAGAGGTACTACAGTCATTTTCTCTGCATGGAAAGAAAGATCATCAGGGGCTTTACTTAAATTGTAAATTTCAGGACCCCCAAGCTATATGTTCTCCCTTGGGGAAGGGGTAAAGTTTACTATAGTTTATATAGGGAAATAGCACTTTTGGGTATATTTTGACAACTTTCTGTAGGAAATTATTTTTACTTGGTGAGAATTATCCTTGGAGGAAGATGGTTTCAAATTGTAAAATTGAGATTCCTACCCCAACCCCTGGGGCGAGGGCGGGGCCCCAAAGGGAAAATTAACCAATATTTCAAAAATTGTCTCCTCCAGACTCAGAGGTACTACATTCATATTCTCTGCATGGAAAGAAAATCATCAGGGGCTTTACTTAAATTGTAAATTTCAGGACCCCCGAGCTATCCATTCTCCCTTGGGGAGGGGGTAAAGTTTACTATAGTTTATATAGGGAAATAACACTTTTGGGTATATTTTATCCATTTTCAGCAGAAAATTACTCAAACTTAGTCAGAATCATCTTTGGTGAATGAGAGTATTACTTTGTAAAATTGGGATTCCTGCCCCCTCCCCAGGGGCTAGGGCGGGGCCCCAAATGGAACATTTACCAATATTTTCAAAGTCTTATCCTTTGATGAAGTGACAAGTATTGTATTTCACTTAGTTTACATGCTGATTTCCACATCACATCTAAACAATAAAATAAAGCTACCAGTACCTATGATATAACTCAGGTGACCGCTATAAGGCCCTTGGGCCTCTTGTTCAATTACCCCAATGCAGAAGACACAGAAATAAATCCCTGGTTGTTAGTCATCTGTCATGATAACACTCAGTGGGATACTACAGGTCTATTATTTCCCTGAATCTGCAAGGATAGCTGTGTAAACAGATTAATCTCATATCAGACCTCTGTACATGTACGTACCTACCAATTAACCCAAGTTGTATGGAGGACGGGAGACTTCCGATTTGAATCCTAAAATTAAACACTTTGTTTCAGCGAGTAGATTTGATCCACTTTTTGTATATTCTAAGATCTAATGATTTCATCTGACAGAACAACGGAAAATGTCATTTTTAAGTGCTATTTTTTGTCCATAGGGGTAACATAAATAGAAACATTTTATTGATGTTTTTAAATTTGAGCACACAGAATCTCCCCCATGGGCATCCCAAATATGTCTATATATCGCAGAAGTATCTTAATGATGGGCAGTCTGAACATCTTAATGATGGGCAGTCTGAACATCTCAACTTCTGTTCATAACTGAACACCCTTGAACCTATTTATTTTTCAGATTCCATGGGATGCTTGAACCTGAAGAATCCACTGAACTTTGTGAACCAGGAACAGGCCAAATTTGAATGTCACGTCAAATACAGGGGCAGTGAAGCACCTGTGTTGTCATGGCGACACGGAAATAAACAACTTAATCAGACAACCATAGAGCATAACGATACCTATGTGGTGTCGACGATGTCGTTCCTGGCGACATACGAGGACGACGGCCATGTTTACTATTGTCACATTGAATATCAACAAATATTTTCATCTTACTGCTCTACGACACCTCCACTTAAAGTTTACTGTGAGTTTAAAAACAGCTTAAGGCTCACTGTGAGTATGTGTGTTGAACGGGAGGTCAAGGGTCGCTGGGAGTAGAATGAAAGTTCAGGTTTTATTATTAATGCAAGTAGAGCATGGTGAAAATATATACAAATACGATACATTATAAATAATACTGTATTCAAGGAAATGTTCTCTCGGTAATGACAACCATTTTCACTCACTGTATTGAGGGTTGATTTTATCCTGACATCAGGCATTGGTACACAACTTAACGTAGAAACAATTTCTACTGCGAAGGGTTAATAATTTTACTACTAGTAGAATGTTAATCCTTCACTGAGACACTTTCTTGATATACAGTAAACAAATGAATTCTCAGTGGCATTCTCTTGTTACACAGTAAACAAACATTGTTGTTTGTGAGTCGTGATAAAAGAACAAACCTGATGATTGTCAATATTAACTGTTCCAGCACCTGTTCACCTGCTGATTGTCAATATTAACTGTTCCAGCACCTGTTCACCTGATGATTGTCAATATTAATTATTACCCAATAGTCTATATAAATTATAATTAGTCATTTTTGACTGTTTCTGGCTTTTTGTCCAATTTCGCCTGTAGGGGTGAAACAGTCAAAACTGTTTTCCCGGTCAGAGCGAATTGTTACCCGGCGCGAATTCGATGCGCATAAATCCCCCCTTNTGTCAATATTAACTGTTCCAGCACCTGTTCACCTGATGATTGTCAATATTAACTGTTCCAGCACCTGTTCACCTGATGATTGTCAATATTAACTGTTCCAGCACCTGTTCACCTGATGATTGTCAATATTAACTGTTCCAGCACCTGTTCACCTGATGATTGTCAATATTAACTGTTCCAGCACCTGTTCACCTGATGATTGTCAATATTAACTGTTCCAGCACCTGTTCACCTGATGATTGTCAATATTAACTGTTCCAGCACCTGTTCACCTGATGATTGTCAATATTAACTGTTCCAGCACCTGTTCACCTGATGATTGTCAATATTAACTGTTCCAGCACCTGTTCACCTGATGATTGTCAATATTAACTGTTCCAGCACCTGTTCACCTGATGATTGTCAATATTAACTGTTCCAGCACCTGTTCACCTGATAATTGTCAATATTAACTGTTCCAGCACCTGTTCACCTGCTAGCTGTCGACGTAGTACCACACTCTCACAAAAATAATTACAAGTCCGGAACAGACATCAAACTTCTGTGTCACGCCAAAGGTGACCCTTCACCTAATTTCCACTGGATGTTTACGCCGAAGAATATGAGTCGACCCGCTCTCGATGTGTCACACATCAGTCGCTACACGATCCGTAACGCCCAGCCTTCAAATGCCGGAACCTATGCTTGTACCGTCACAAATGTCATCAACGGAACCAAATTCCAGAAAACGAAGCTCATCATGATTGACGTATTTATTGGTAAACAAGTTTCTCAAGTTACCTCATCATGACAACATAAAGTCTTTATTGGTTAATATTTTATTGCAGGACACCTGCATCATAAATTACCATTAATAGGACTTTTATCACACCATCAACATAAAGTGGGCTGTTCTACCATTAATAGGACTTCTATCACACCATCAACATATAGTGGGCTGTTCTACCATTAATAGGACTTCTATCACACCATCAACATATAGTGGGCTGTTCAAATCGTCTTCCCTCCATCGCCTGTACTCAAACAATTTACCTGTTTTGTACATGAACAAGGCGGCTTCTAGCTTGATATCTTAGATATTGACAGTTAAAGTTTGATACAGATATTTTGCAAATAGAACTGGAGAAATCTGTCTGTTGTTGCTATTTCTCAGAAAGTTTTTGAGTAATCTATCTCAAATTTCAAGGTGCCTTTTAATTATCTGCTTGATCAAAACAAAGTTCAAATAGGTCAAACAAGATATCTAACTTACATAGAACTAATATCTCATGATCAAAAGTAATTGTTAGTTTGTTAATTGTTTAATGGCCCAGCAATAGTGAAGTCATATTGGGCCTAACAACAATACAGGACAGTTACAAAATTAAGTACACCAAAAACAAACTCAACAGTAAAAGTTTGATAGGTGTACACAAGAGTTCACTGGAAATGGTCAGATATTGTTATACGAAGAATTAAGAAATATAAAGTTTGATGGTGTAAACCAATTTCATGCAGATATTTGAAAATCTTTGAAAAATAATAGTAAGAATATCGATAATTCATGTTTGTTTGAGGGATAGCATGATTTATTGCTTTGTCTTTTTATGCCAATAAATAATGTAAAGCAGTCGATAGCTCTGCAGATTTTTATGGACAGTTTTGGTATATGTTATGTGCAATTATCATCAGATTTTTTTTGCTTATAAGATCATGAAAACTTTCATTTAGTTGCGACACCTCCGTCAGTTGGCTACCGGTACTTCATAGCTCACCAGGGTAGTGACTCGTCCTACGACCAACAGAATGGTAAATCAAAGAAGAAGGAGGAAAGTGGAAACCTCAAACCAGAAAGTAAGTCAGGGGAGGTAACTCCCAGTGCTGCTCGTGTAGGTTGGTCAGGACAAACCACAAACCAGAAAGTAAGTCAGGGTAGGTAACTCCCAGTGCTGCTCGTGTAGGTTAGTCAGCACAAACCAGAAAGTAAGTCAGGGGAGGTAACTCCCAGTGCTGCTCGTGTAGGGTGGTCAGGACAAACCTCAAACCAGAGAGTAAGTCAGGGTAGGTAACTCCCAGTGCTGCTATTGTAGGGTGTTCAGGACAAACCTCAAACCAGAGAGTATTAAAATTCAGGGGATGTAACTCCCAGTACTGCTCATGTAGGGTGGTCAGGACAAACCACAAAGCAGTGAGTAAGTCAGGTGAGGTAACTCCCAGTGCTGCTCATGTAGGTTGGTAAGGACAAGCCACAAAGCAGTGAGTAAGTCAGGGTAGGTAACTCCCAGTGCTGCTCGTGTAGGTTGGTAAGGACAAGCCACAAAGCAGTGAGTAAGTCAGGTGAGGTAACTCCCAGTGCTGCTCATGTAGGGTGGTCAGGACAAACCACAAACCAGAGAGTAAGTCAGGGTAGGTAACTCTCAGTGCTGCTCGTATAGGTTGGTTAGGACAGATTCAAAGCTCTGTGTCTTTTAACAAACTGAATTGAAATATACATGGGAAACAAGAATGTTTTGTACTTTTTGTATACATATGGATACAGGTGCGATAAAATAACATGAAACATTTGTACAATGATGAAAGCTTGTTGGTGTATAACTAACATTGTTTAAACCTCATCACTATCAGGAAGACATGTTGCTGTATAACTAACATTGTTTATATCTCATCATGATCTTGTCTGCTTTCCAGTTTCCCCTTACGCTGTGGGTGCCATGGCTACCGCTGGACTTGCTGTAATTCTCATCATCGTGTTTATCTTCCTCGCCATGAAGTTCAAGGTGAGTTGACGGTGAAACACTATCCTGTACTAATAGTAGCACAAAGACAATGCATACAGATATAGGTGAATGTTGATGTTTGTTTGTAATCAAAATAATGCTCTCTCTACAAAGGTGATATCTGACATCTGTCTGTGGTCTCTTCATCACCAAGTGTTCATCCCCCCGAAAGAAATTCAGGGGGAATAGAGCTATCCCAAAGGATGTCCAATGCATCCATCTGTCTGTCCATAGTTCTGTATTGTCTTGTTAACGATTGATCATGCAAGTTTCAAACTTGGTGTGCGGGTTGCCCTAGTGGATGCAAATTAAAGAATACAATTGAGGTCAAGGTCACCGTTTCAAAAATTAAAATCATTATGCATTGTTTGTCAGGCGTACATGGTGCCCCTGGCAGCTCTCTCATTTTGAACGTGTTCAAATTCAGAATCAGAAAAAGTGTTTTGCTATTTTAATTTTTGTCTCACCGCCACAAAGTTGTGGAAGCAAGACTTATTTAGGTGTTGTTTTTCCGCCACTGGTGTCGGCAGCGCGACATAAAGATTTTGCGTTTAAGTTAGTTTCATTGAAAGTATAAGTGCTAGACCAACCTCACTGAAAGTATAAGTGCTAGACCAACCAAACTTGGACCATACATGTATCTTAGGTAGTAATCTCAACCCATGCATTAAATGCTGGATGCGGCCTACCTTTCATGGTCCATTGACTTTGTCAGTATCTCCATCAACGTTAAGTTTTTATATTTAAGTTAGTTTCTCTGAAACTATAACTGCTAGACCAACCAAACTTGACATTGAAGGTCATTGTGATAATCTTGGGAATTGTAGGTGCGGGACAAGGATTTATTGAAGGTCATTGTGATAACCTTGGGAATTGTAGATGTGGGACAAGGATTTATTGAAGTTCATTGTGATAACCTTGGGAATTGTAGATGTGGGACAAGGATTTATTGAAGTTCATTGTGATAACCTTGGGAATTGTAGGTATGGGGCAAGGATTTATTGAAGTTCATTGTGATAATCTTGGGAATTGTAGGTACAGGACAAGGATTTATTGAAGTTCATTGTGATAACCTTGGGAATTGTAGATGTGGGACAAGGATTTATTGAAGTTCATTGTGATAACCTTGGGAATTGTAGGTACGGGACAAGGATTTATTGAAGTTCATTATGATAACCTTGGGAATTTTAGGTACAGGACAAGGATTTATTGAAGGTCATTGTGATAACCTTGGGAATTGTAGGTGCGGGACAAGGATTTATTGAATGTCATTGTGATAACCTTGGGAATTTTAGGTGCGGGACAAGAAGTTGAAGGAGCGATTCTCCCGAATGCATGACGAGCTGATGGATGATCAGGAGGTTGAACTATTAGATGAAAACATTCAGCCCATGAGGGCAGATGAGGTAAAAATCTCAGTTTAAAATGCCTCCCATTAAGAAAGAATTATTTATTTCATCTGGTAATATATATGCAGCTTAATTTACCATTGAACAACAGTACATTTTCTGTTGACAAAATACTTGGCATAATGGTAAGGATAAAGAATAATCAAAATTAAATATGGATTTGTAAAAAGTGTTTGGAAATTCATTATCAGTTACTCACAGTCATCTTATAAAAACATAACAATGAAATTGTCTTGTAGAATATTAATGATGTTGGATTTAGCAACTCCTGAGGCAGATAAAGCTTTGAACATTTGTGATGGTGTGATGACATATATTTGTTTTGTGACAGCCGACCCAGTACAGCCAGCTGAGGCAGTGTTGGGAAATACCTAGGAAAGACATTCGGCAGTCTGAGCTCCTGGCGCGGGGCGTGTTTGTCGAGGTGTGGAAAGGACGCATAAAGAAATTCCCCGATAGGGATGAGGTTATCAGGGTTGCCATCAAAAAACTTCTGCGTAAGTGCTAGTGGAGAAAGGTAAACAATATTGTTCCCATAAGAAATCAATGCCCCCCACCATTATAGTTTAATGATGGGTTTGTAACCACTTGTCAAAAGATTTGAAAACATTAACATATAACAGTACAAAAAATAATGAAAATGAGTAAATCAGAAAAGAAACATATAAATGTGATGATAAAGTTGTGTACTAATTTTTAGCCCACCATCATCTGATGGTGGGCTATTCAAATCACCCTGCGTCCGTGGTCCGTCGTCCGTCCGTAAACAATTCTTGTTATCGGTATTTCTCAAGAAGTACCCGAGGGATCTTTCTCAAATTTAATATGCAGGTTCCCCTTGGTCCTTAGCTGTGCAGGGCAACTTTTGAGACTGATCGGATAAACAACATGGCCGACAGGCAGCCATCTTCGATTTTGATATTGAAAGTTTGTTATCGCTATTTCTCGGGAAGTATCAGAGAGATCTTTCTTAAATTTTATATTAAGGTTCCCCTTGGTCCTTATCTGTGCAGTGCAACTTTGGAGACTGATTGGATAAACAACATGGCCGACAGGCAGCCATCTTGGATTTTGATATTGAAAGTTTGTTATTGCTATATCTCGGCAAGTACAGGAGGGATCTTTCTCAAATTTTATATGTAGGTTCCCCTTGATCCCTCGTTGTGTATGTTATATTTTGAGACTGATCATAAAAACAAAATGGATTAAAAGAAGAACTAAACAGATCTTTCTCATATTGCAATGATCGATTCTATTTCTTTCACATTACGTACTGTCCTAGTAAATATGTGAAATGACAAACTCACTTTGAAGGTTGGCTTTTATACACATCAGTATTAAGTTTAGATCAAAAGTTACCTCAAGGTGCATTTACTGTTAACATGACTCGATCAAACAGATTAGAGCTCGAGAAAAGAAGAGAAAAGATCGAACTAACAAAGAACTAATGAAGATAATACAAAGGTGGGCGCCAAGATCCCTCTGGTTTAAGTTTTGTTTTATGATTTGTTCATTTATTTTCAATAAGCAAGAAGACTTACCTGCAATTGATCATATGTGGCAAAAAAGGGCTGTACTTCTGAAAAAATATAAAAAAAAATAAAAGAAGGTGGAAGCTGTTCATTTTCATGTGATAAAACTATTTATTAAAGAAGTTAAAAATCACAGTATATATTATCATTATCTCTATGTTCATATGGCTATAAAACTGTTTACAAAGATCAAAAGCAATTCATGATGTTGAAGGTGGGGGGCCAAAGCTCATTGTGATGTCATAGAAATCATACAGGGTTGGACTAGAAATCCAACACAGAAACATCATAGATTAGTTTGACCAGGGTAAGAATGTAATCACAAGACCTATCTACAAGGTCTTCGATTATTATTTTTATTATATTTTTTTACAGCTGAAGCAACTGAGAAAGGTCGCAAGTTTTTCCTCGCTGAAATGGAGGTCACCAAGGTTTTGCAGGCTAACATCAATGTGATTCAACTCATTGGTTGTTATACCCTTCATGGTATGTAATCTCACACCTAACTGGTTGTTACTCCTTACATGGTATGTAATCTCACACCTAACTGGTTGTTACACACTTCATGGTATGTAACCTCACACCCCATTGGTTGTTACTCCCTACGTGGTATGATGTAACCTCACACCTAACTGGTTGTGACACCCTTCATGGTATGTAACCTCACACCCCATTGGTTGTTACTCCCTACATGGTATGATGTAACCTCACACCTAACTGGTTGTTACACCCTTCATGGTATGTAACCTCACACCCCATTGGTTGTTACTCCCTACATGGTATGATGTAACCTCCCACCTAACTGGTTGTTACACCCTTCATGGTATGTGACCTCACATCCCATTGGTTGTTATACCCTTCATGGTATGTAACCTCACACCCAACTGGTTGTTACACCCTTCATGGTATGTAACCTCACATCGCATTGGTTGTTATACCCTTCATGGTATGTAACCTCACACCTAACTGGTTGTTACACCCTTCATGGAATGTAACCTCACACCCCATTGGTTGTTATACCCCTCATGGTATGTAACCTCACACCCCATTGGTTGTTATACCCTTCATGGTATGTAACCTCATACCCCATTGGTTGTTACTCCCTACATGGTATGTAACTTTACATCCCATTGGTTGTTTCACCCTATATGGTATTTATTATCACAGCTCAATGGATGTTACACCCCACACTGTATGTAATCTTATGTCTGATTTCAGAGCCCTGGCTTTTAATGTTGGAGTATGCATCAGAGGGTACTCTATATAGCTTCCTCCAGAGGTGTCAACCTGGGGCCCAGAGGGTGGAGATCACCACGTCATCTTCCAAGTCTTCTGCACGACTCAAAAACCACAAGGTTGACGCTCATAAAATGTTAGCTATGTCAGCACAGATTGTCAACGGACTTCAGCATATCTCAAAGTTCAAGGTGGGCATGTAGCTGTCATAATTGTGTACATAAAACCTGAAACCCCTTGCTTTCTCTAATCTTCAAAAGGCTTTTTAAATCAATTAATGTGGGGAATGTATGTCTGCGCTTTGGTTTCTGATAGATGCTTTAATTCTTTTTGATAAAACAAGGTACGCATGTAAAATCTCATACAAAGACTAAGTGTGTTGATGTCCTTTGTCCTGTTACAGTTGGTGTGCTACAGACTACGCTCAGCCAGTGTGTTGGTAGGGAAGGGGGCCGTGTGTAAACTAACCGGGTTTGGTTTCCCTCAGGACGTCACAGAACGAAACCAGTATGAGGCTGTAAGTAACACCAGCAGGCTTTCCTTAAAATCCAAGATCACACTGCAAGCTATTACACATGTGTAATACTAGATCACACTGCCAGCTATTACACATGTGTAATACTAGATCACACTGCCAGCTATTACACATGTGTAATACTAGATCACACTGCCAGCTATTACACATGTGTAATACTAGATCACACTGCCAGCTATTACACATGTGTAATACTAGATCACACTGCCAGCTATTACACATGTGTAATACTAGATCACACTGCCAGCTATTACACATGTGTAATACTAGATCACACTGCCAGCTATTACACATGTGTAATACTAGATCACACTGCCAGCTATTACGTTATGATAGTTATGGCATGTATGAATCTGACATGTAAATATATACGCACATGGAAATGAGTTTAGACTACGCTGTCACACACTCGAGCACACATGCACATCAATAACATGGCTTTATTTCAAAGTGGTACAGGGCCTAACTGAATATGTATAATGACGGCTACACGGCCATATGCCGAAATGAGATACTGACGGCTACAAGGCCATATGCCGAAATGAGATACTGATGGCTACAAGGCCATATGCCGAAATGAGATACTGACGGCTACAAGGCCATTTGCCGAAATAAGACACTGACAGCTACAAGGCCATATGCCGAAATGAGATACTGACCGCTACACGGCCATATGCCGAAATGAGATACTGACGGCTGCACGGCCATATGCTTATTAAATAGATGACGACATGGTTCAAATTACAACTCTAAAACTCCTAAAAAAATACTAGTACTGTGACTGATAAAATATCTACGCTAACATTATTCTATTGCGGTTGAGTGACCCTATACCTACAGCTACTCCTACAGTAGAAAAGAGGTGAGCCGAATCAGTCTTGTCAAGATTTTTATTCTGACTGACGAGGCACACAGGTGCACCAGCTGAAATAGACAAAACACGGCAATTTGCACATGCAATAGTCGCGACAAATTACTCGGAACATTTCCGCTGTTGCTATAGAGTTCCGAACAGTATATAAACTTCCGGTATATCGATCATGATGACAGTCGTCAAATATAACTCTTTAAAGTTTACAAATTTACTTTACTTTTACAAAAACATAAAATTTGACTGAATTTCTTGAGAGATTTCCCTTGATATCTTGTTATAAAAAATGATACTTTTCCCTTACAGGACTCCTTACCAATCCGCTGGATGGCTCCAGAATCACTATCCCATAATATGTACAGTACACAGTCAGACACGTGGTCTCTAGGCGTGGTTATGTGGGAGATATTACACTTTGGTAAGTACTCCATCCCATAATATGTATGATACTCCATCCCATAATATGTACAGTACACAGTCGGACAGTTGGTCTCTAGGCGTGGTTTTGTGGGAGATATTACACTTTGGTAAGTACGTACTCCATCCCACTATTTGTTTAGTACTCCGTCCCATAATATGTATGATACTCCATCCCATAATATCTTTAGTACTCCATCCCATAATTTCTTTAGTACTCCATCCCATATGTATGCTACTCCATCCCATAATATGTACAGTATGCAGTCAGACACGTGGTCTCCAGGCGTGGTTATGTGGGAGATATTACACTTTCATGGTCCCTGCTGCCTATTATTGTTACCAGGTAAGTGATATTACTAATTATGTCGTGTCCCTCATTAAATTTTAATTTTTATACTGAAAGGAGCCACACCTTACCCAGCCTTTGGTCAGGATGAACTGCCAGACAAAGTGATAGACGGATACCGCCTTCCTGCCCCGCCTCACTGTAGTGATGAACTGTAAGTCGTTATACTGCACTAAATACTGTAAACTGTATGATGTAAAATCTTACTTCTGGTTTCATTTCATGCAAGATTCATAAAATGAGTTGAACAGTACTGCTATTAATATAGAAGAGAAGTAAAACTTTCGTTGGGTAAATCCAACATCGCATATTTGGTATTCAGTGTCATTGGTTAAAAGTTGGACAGAAAAAATATGTAATTCAGGATAACACAATTGTGTTCATTGCACACACAGATACGGGATAATAAGTAAGTGTTGGAGTGCCCTGCCCGAGAATCGTCCCGACTACGACACTATAATGACGGAGCTGACAAACCTGGCTTTGGAGGACTCGGCCCACATCTGCCTTGACAAACTGCCCACTTTCGCCAAGGCCCCAGAACACTACAGTGGGGACGACTCTGACAGTCTGTGAGTTCAACGTTACAGAATGGTGAAGTACTTAACATACATAGGGACCCGAGTGTCTTTGTGTACTTCTGAAGTTGTGTACCGTTCCTAGTTACCCTGGTGAACTTCAGACGTTGTGTAACGTTCCTAGTTACCCTGGTGAACTTCAGACGTTGTGTACCGTTCCTAGTTACCCTGGTGAACTTCAGACGTTGTGTAACGTTCCTAGTTACCCTGGTGAACTTCAGACGTT